CCCCAAAACCCCAAAACCCCAAAACCCCAAAACCCCAAAACCCCAAAACCCCGTTATATAATGCCATGCCTGAGTCATGTAATAAATATTAATAATTTAAAAATGGAAAGATTTTCGCTATCCTATGTCCCAGCTGAATTACTCAATATTATACTCTCTTATTTGTCAAGGAAGGCAAAATGGAAGCTAAGAGAGCTCTCAAAAGGTAGGAAGGTCGTCTTATTATACGAAATATAGAATTTAGAGATATCTATGTACCAAGTAGCATGGTGTCTGTGAAAATGAGTCATTTTCGTTATAATGAGCACCCTGTTGGGATCAGAATTCTTGAAGATTTGTTCTGAAAGTGCCACTATATCCAAAAACTTGACCTTACCTTGAATTCTGCTAGTGCCAACTTAAGTTGCTCGATGACAGAAGAGTATTCAGAATACTTAGAAGCATTATTTGATGAAGAGAACTCAACTGTTTTCAAAACTTGAAAGACGATTATCTTAAAGGGATTTAGCATCAACAATCCTGAAAGGTACTTTTTTGCAATTTCGCAACCATTACGTAACTTATAGATTTTTCAGAAATATTCTGATGAAATTCCGGTCGTTGAAGGAGCTCATGCTTGAAGGGCTGACTATGGAGGAGGACCTCTGCTCTATCTTGTATTCTATGAGGGAAGAAGCTCAGTTTAAAGAGTCTCTAGAAGAACTCTCTATAAATATGTGCTCCTCAAAAGATGAAAATATTCCTGATAGTTGGTATGAAGACCTAGGAGCCTTCCTCGATAGCTTTCCTAATCTTAGCTCTATTTCACTCAATGGGATGAGGATTGGAGAGAATTATATTTTTCTTCATGATTCCTTAAAGCGCGTTGAGAAAATCAATTTGCAGCAAAATGGAATTAATGCTGCTATTGCAATGAATCTCTGAAATTCACTGGATTTAGACAAATTAGAGGTTTTTAATCTTGCCCTCAACTGGCTTGGCCCTCAAGGGCTAGTTACAACTAGAGAAAGGTAATTTTTGAAACATAAATTTAGATTTTTGGAGATGAGCTGATTGAAAGAGCTCCATCTCAATGGAAATAAGATGTTCAAAGGGCATCATGACATCGAAGTAATGACCTCCATTTTGCAAGGGCTTGATAATCTTGAAGTACTTTCTCTGCAAGAGAACTCTATGTCTCCAGAAGACTTTAAATATTGTCTCAGAGTCTTATTCAAGACTAAAACCTTGACCCACCTGAACCTAAGTAGGAATGGTCTCTCAGAGCATTCTATCAGGATCTTCATAAAATATATGGAGAAGGGTCACTTTAAGAACTTAAAATTCTTAGATTTCTCATTTAACCAGATAAACATCGAAGGCTTTGAAGCTCTTTGTAAGTTTTACACTCAAAATTACGAATTCTGCCCTTCTGAACTGATGCTCAGAGGCATGAATTTTGATTATGATAAAGCCAAATTTAACCTCCATCAGAGTGAAAACTCTGAGGAACATATTTGGGAATTCTACCCTCAACTCAAGGTCTTGCAACAAATGATCAGCCAAGTAGCTAGACCTGGCTTTAAGAAGTTAGCTCTCAAGCCTAATAATTTGAGGAGAAATGTCAAGACCAACTTTAAGAACAGTATTCAAGAGCTTTACCCACAGATTGAAGCTGTATCCTTACTCTTATAAGGTTTTGAGTTTCAACCTGAATTTTGAGAGATGGGGTTTTGGGGTTTTGGGGTTTTGGGGTTTTGGGG